CAACTGGCAAAAACTGATGCACAGGAAGTTCCGCCTGAATATGAGGAAGAGCTTCTTTATGTCATCTTGTATTCCGTATTGCTGTATGATCTTACCAAGGGTCAGCATCAGGAAGACTAACTTGGTGAGCCACACCATCTTTTCAGGGATTAGTAAAGATTAATTTAAAAAGTTAAAAGTAAATTTTTTTCAGAATTTTTTTTTCAGTTCTCCACTATTTCCCAAGTATTCTGGGTTTGTTTCTTAACAACAACCATGTCTTCAAGAGCTATTAGGCTGTGGTTTTTGGGGGGATGGAGGGGTAAATGTTGTCTGAGACTTTGATTTTAAGATGACAAATAATTTTTTTTTTTAATTTTCTTGTTCGTTACTATGTTTCTCAATAATAATAATCAAAAATTCTTCCAGATATGTTTAAGTGATTTCTTGTTATTACTGTGTTTCCCATTCAACATTTGGTTTTCTTTGATATTTTTAATTCACCATTATTGGTAGTTTATGTTTCCTGATAAACTGTTCTGTGTGTGTATGAGTCCATATGAATTATTTTTTAATCCTTACAAGCTAGAGGTTGTTTTTTTAAGCTTTGGAGTACTGAAGAGGGGGTATTGCCTTTCTCTTTATTTTATTTTCATTTCTCTGTTACTAGTGAATGCTTCTCATGTGATTATGTGCCTTTTTTTATTTTTAACATTTAATGACATATTTTAAAGTGCTCCTAGTCATAGTAATTTCATCTTAAAAGATTTTCTTCTTCTCAGTTTTTCTCATTATTGTTTCCAGCTTTCCAGTAGTGATGCTTCTAAAGCACCTTGTGTTTGTGTGTTTTTGTATTTAGTAGTAGTTACTGGGATAAGATTCTACACATTAATACATAATAGGTCTTAATTGCCTGCACATAGGTGACCACACAGAGCTTTTTTTGATTTTTACCCAGAAAATTTGTATTTAGTATATAGAATTTTTGTCCACTGGTTAAATAATTTCTTACATGAGAATTGTATTAGTTAATTTTTAGAAACTTCAAGGATACTTCTGTGGTTATAGCATTCATCCGCCACCCCCGCAAGAATCTTCATCACAACACAGATTTTTTTTTTATTAGTTTTTGTTTGTTTGTTTTTGTTGGAAGGGATATTTTTGGTTTGGGGTTTGTTTTATTTTGGGTTTGGGTTTGTTTGTTTGCTTCAGATGCTAAAGAAACTACTCAACCTGTTCCATGCCCTGTTTGGTTGTCTTCAACATATCTATCAATATAACACACCTCTTCTTGTACCCTGTCTGGTGGTTTATTAGTTAGAGCATTGACCTGTAACTATTCAGGGCCTTGTTTCTGTAAATCCTCAATAACAAGAATGCACATAATAGAGGTACAGAGTTGCTAGATCTACTTCTTTCTGTATAAGTAAGGCATGTCCAATAATTCGGTTATTTTAAGTTCTGACTAACAGATTTAATTTCTGCTAAGACTTTTTTTATCTTTCCTTTCTCAGCATTAAGAATCACAAACTCAGAGAATCATAGAGTCATAGAATGTTCTGGGTCGGAGGGGACCATAAAGATCATTCCCCCCTGCCATGGTCAGGGAACCTTCCACTAGACCAGGTTTCTCAGAGCTCCATCAATTTGGCCTTGAACACTCCCAGGGATGGGACATTCACAGCTTCTCTGGCCAGCCTGTTCCAATGTCTCACCACTCTCACAGCAAAGAATTTCTTCCTAATATCTAATCTAAACCTACTCTCAGTTTGAAGACATCCCCCTTGTCCTGTCACTACGTCCTCTTGTAAAAAGTCCCTCTCCATCTTTCTTGTAGGTTCCCTTCAACTACTGGAAGGCCACAATTAGGTCGCCTTGAAGCCTTCTCTTCTCTAGGAACAATCCCAGTTCTCTCAGTCTTTCCTCATAGGAGAGGTGCTCCATCCTTCTAATAAGCTTAGACCTTTCCATTTTCATTTTTAGAGCTTCTCTTTGAAGCTAGGTTAAAAATTTCTTCTCTTCCTATTCCTGATGCCTGCCTCTTTGCTTTCATACATAATCTTAGATGACAGGCTAAAACTAACTCTAGCCAGCCTGCCCTCAATGTCCACAAGTTCTTTTCTGGAACAGTGACTAAGTATTCTGCAGAACTTTAATGGAGAGGTCATGAATAAAGCAGAACTACTGAGGTGCACTCTTTGTGAGACTAAGGTCCACATTTCCTTTTTCTGCATGTGAAAACAACAAGGAAGCCTGTGAGGTTAATGGTCTCAGGAGTAGAATTCTGTTCCTGGCCATGAAGGTGCCAGGGGTGCCTCCAAGGACTGCTATGGTAGCCTGCCAGGTGACTTTCCTTTTGCAGAACCAATCTAGACCTCACTAGAATTTCATGAAATTGCTCGCTCCCAGCATCCAGCATGGAGGGGTGACAGCTGAAGTTTTGAAATGACAAAGTCTCAAAGATCTGTGAGTGAGTGTATAAATAAAGTCAAAGCAAGAATCAGTTGGCTAAACATAGGCACCTACCAGCACTTGATGTGTCCTAGATCATGCAAGACACACATTGTCATATATGAGAGGGCATCTAGGTCACAGACAACAGCAGGTGGATTTGTGCTTTTCTAGAGAATCAGCAGGCTATGTAGGATATACACCAAAAATTAAAGTAGCGCTGCATGCCTGCAGCTTTTATGATCTTTTTTCACTTCTTTGACCTGCTTCTGGATCTGTATTGTGCAGATCCTGTAGGGGCTTTTCCAGCTTGTTGATTTCTTCTTTGATAATATAGTTAAAACTGTATCCTCAGCATTCTTGAAGTGCTTACTCTGGTTTAGAAAGAAAGGCAAATCTGTTTTGTAGTTTGCCCCTTCTAAATTTACACAGATTATCATAACAACTGGGGCAGCATTTCCAGGTTAAGATCATAATAGTTCTTTCAGCAGATTTTTCAGTGGTGACAAATGAGGCTAGATAATGTTTTTCAAACATTTTAGAAAAGCATACTAGTCTGAAGATCAAGTAACTTCACTTCTGGTCTCCTGTCAAGTCCTTACACATTGCAAGAGTTACAGAATAACACAATGTACTGGTTTTTTATTAGTAAAAGGAAAAGAATGTTATCATCTGGTGGGTAATTTTTATATTCCAGAAATACTGTTTTGCGCTTTGATATGGCAGCCTAGAGACTGATTCTGTCCAGCCTGAAGAAACACCTAGTAGGTGATCAAAGGAGTTGTTCCTCAGTCTCTGGTGGCTGTGTTGACCTGGGGTTAAGTTCAGTTGTCTAAGCACAGGTAGTTGGTGCCACTTCTGATGCCAGAGGATACCTGAAACTTCTGCGCAGGGTTGGGACATACAACAGAGGATCTATCTGTGCCCTTCTCTACCTTTCTGGACTGGCAGTTGAAGGCTTGATGGGATACCTTACAGGATCTCAGGCAGCATCATTGGTTGATGAAGATGGAAGCTTACGCTCCAGATGTGTGTGCACACAGCTATATGTAGGTGTCTTAATATAAAAATGAAACCCACTCAAGATTACACAAAGATATCTTATCAGAAGACTGACCTGAAGCCCCCTAATAGAGGCCGGTGCTTTATTAGCTTTCATGACACCTGTTTATTTTAGAAGATCACCCCTTCAGTGTGGAATACATCACACTACCAGGAACCAGGTGTTGACTGCCAAGAAGCAGAACTACATCAGTAGTGCAGAGCCTTGTGAGAGTGACACTTTCTTTTCACCAAATCCCTGTCAGCCACAAATTTTGTTGAGGTGACTTTTCTCCTGATATAATATGTTGAGGGAGCTCTGTAAAGCACCCCTTGATTTCTTCCTTCCTGTCTATTTCCCAAATCCACTTGTGCTAAGGTACTGACCACAGAAAGCTAGGTGATTAAAGGGTTAGCTGAAGTAACTTGTACCCATTCCCATGTTTTTTCATGGGATATATGACATTCTTACAAGATATCAATCCAAGGATATTGCTATAAAGGGGTGATTGGTTTTTTTTTTCCCTGGGGGAACTAGAACATTATAGTCTATTTCTGTGCTTCCCGACCTTTACAGTATCATCTCTATGTATGAAGCACTTTAGATCCATCTTGCCATCCTGTTCTTCTACATCTAAAGTTGCTGGTGATACAGATACTTAATATATTTTCCCTGACACAGTCTCTTAACATAGTTCAGTGTAATTTGCTTATGTTGAACAAAATCCTAAATTCTAGCTAGCCTATGTAGTTTCCTTTGGAAATTCTGTTGACAATAGTACATGAGAAATCAGAAGAAATTACATGACTCTATGTTAACTGCTATAGATTAGTATTTATGACACTTTACAAGGTCTAATCTGCAGCCTTGCCCTTGTGAGGTAAATATTTAAGATTGATATATTTATTACTGGGTATAAAGCTGCACTGGATAGGCAAGCTGTTTATAAAATGAAGGTAACGATTGAGTCATGTCACGAGAGAGCACATTCCTGAAACTTGAAAAGCACATTGAAACATGTTGGCAAGGATGGTAATGCCATATTAAATAACATGAAATATTTGAAGGTCTAAGGATGACTCTTCATCTCCTTTTCAGTCATTATTCCTTCCTCTCTTTCCCATTGCAAAAGGGTTTGGTTAGAAAATGATCTGTAGTGTGTGACATCTTGACTTTAGTTTTAAATTGTATAGAAATCTATTGAATCCTTGTTTCAAAACATACAGGAGTAATCAGTGATTTATATTAGAAATATCCCTTTGAAAAGAGGAACCAGCACTTAGTTGCACACAATTTGCTATGAAAGCGGGGCACGGAAACCGACTGTTTAAAGCAGAAATTACTTCATTTTCTGTTTTTAAATAAACATGAGGATCCTAAAAATCCCCTGTAAGTAGAACTTTCCCTTACAGGATAAAATGGAATTAAAATAGTGTCAATAAATTGTGTGAGAGACTGTATCAGTCTGTGCATTGATAGTCTGTGCATGCAGGATAAGAACATTGACTGCCTGCTAATCTATTCCCAGATGGAGGTGGATGCAGACGAGAAGCGCCATCGCACACGCTCCAAAGGTGTTCGAGGTACGTCTCTTGCTTCAGTAAATCACTCAAGGCCCCTGCTCAGGGTGACCTTCATCCTCCAGAATCTCTTTGCACAATTCATTCTGACCCTTGCTTTTACACAACCTTTCTGGTAATTTTTGTAGAAGAGGGGTACTTGTAATAGATGATAAATTTTTATATATTTTCCATCTCTCTGCAGTTCCCGTGGAACCAGCCATACAAGAGCTGTTCAGGTTAGTGCTCTGAGTGTAAAATGTATCCCCATTAGCAATTTAGAAAATTCATGCCTTTTAATGGGTATAATGCACTTTCAAGTTCATTGGTGGTTTGCTCATGCCCTGCTGCACTGATGAAATTAATTCCCTCGAGACTTGCTAATAAAAAGCATCCCCTCTTTTTTTTTTTTTTTCCCCTTCAGTTATTTGATTTCTCTTTCTGTCTTGGTTGCCCTCCATCTCTGTAATGCCTACTGCCTGCTTGCTTTTAGTATAATCTTTCTGCAGCATACCAGCACCTATATGATTAATTCTCTCTTTTGCAGCTGTCCCACACCTGGCTGTGATGGCAGTGGTCATGTTAGTGGCAAATATGCAAGACACAGAAGGTAACATCTACAATTTTCCATAATTTAGTGAAGAGATTTGGTAAACAATTTATCTGGCGTGACCTTGATAAACCAAATAATGATAAAAATTAGCAATAAGGCATTTTAGAAGCCATTCAGATTCAGATTTTTTTTTTCTTTCTGAGTGTCACACAAAATTTAACTCTCATTTTTGCTGAGGAGACTTGTCCTCATTGTGAGTCTTCTCTTAATTTTTGCATACAGTTCTCTTGCTCATGTGTTGCAAATGAAAATTTGGCCCTACTTACATGTTGGCAGTCATGTTCTTCTGTTATTTAATGTATTTCATAACTGAATGAGAAAAAGCTTCTGAGTATTTTAAGTTCAATGATCAGGTTATATTCAAAGGTCAAAGCTTAAGACAAATCAGTGATAATAAGACTTCAGAGTTCAAATGTTATACTGCAGCTATAAATACCTTTACTTCAGTTTCTAAACCATGATATGTAGAGAATCTCCTTGAGGAAGATTTTTTTAGCTGTTTATTTTTTAATTGTATATAAGATAGCATATGTTACACATACTACATGTTTTTCAAATTAATTTAGACCTCAGTCTTTCCAATTCTGTGTCTGAAAGGTCAGTGATCAATAGTGTTGCACATCTATGTAAACACCAATCCTTTCCTGAATCATTTGTCCATGAATTTCTTGTGCAGTATTTTGAAATTTTAACAGCTTTATAATACATGTATTTTTCTCTCATGCTGTGCATTTCATCTGACATATTTCGTACGGCAGCCCATTGGAAGAGATAAAATGGCTGATGTTTGGGCCATCTCTTTTCTCAGTAGAGGGAGGTGTTCAGACCAGTGTTAAATTCTTCTGAAACTCTCAAGGTTTTTTTCATTCTTGACTTTTTCAGGTTTTAAAGCACTTGTGGTGTTTATAAGAGCACATATTTCACACCAGCTCTGATTACTGCTTTGTAATGAGGGCATATGGGGTTTATGAATTAAATTGAAATAAGACATTTGTGGTTTAGGCATTCATTTGAAATGGGAAAAGATACTGAACAGTGCCACTCAGTCCACTCACGTGCCTTTTTTCTTATCAGTGAATGAAGCTTAGGGACAATCCCGAAAATACTTTCAAAATTAGATCAAGAAAAGTGATACTCCTGATATTAAAATTACTTTGAATTCCATTTGAACAATAGAAACCTTAAAATAATTATTCAAATTTATTTTCTTAATAATTTTTCACTCATAAGAGCAGTAACATTTTTGTGGTTATTTTAAGGCTTGGTTAGGTTGGAACACTGAATTAGGAAAATTAACCAAAATTGTTATTTTTAAATTCACTTGTGACTTCTCATTTCAAACCATGGTTTTCTTTTGTCTGTTTTCTTTATGTAAATATAAGTCTCAAAAGAAATTAATGAATGGCACTGAATCCTTCTCTTCCCACAGAAATTTCATGACAGTCAACAGTTAAATGACGTGATTGTAACGTCCTTTCTAGTTACAAGATTGTAGCTACACACATTTCTTTACACTTCATGGAATTCTTTTGTAGATTTCAAAAATGAAAGCCTTAAAACATACAGAAGGAATTCTTTAGCTTAAAAAATATGACTTTTCTTCTGAATTGCTCGAACTTTGTGTTAGAGTTAGTGACTGTGTCTATTTTACACAAAATCACCCTTTTGGGTGAAGGAATAGATGTGAGGTTTGGAAAGATTACATGCAGTTTTGAGACATTAATTCCATATTTTGCTTTCTTGACATGATCCTGGTATGTCAGTACACGAACAGACTGAATCTCAGAGTGGTTAATTAAATGAAATTTTGGGCAGATGCGCAAAGAATAAAAATTGGAAATACATCAAAAATTCCTTTTTTTCCTGCTAAAGAATTTGTGGGGCTTTTATGTTTTCTTGTCACCCTGATTGCCAATCCACTAATCAAAATATATTTAGCCAATATATGTCTTATTTAATATAAAAACACAAAGCTCTTTGTGGAGGTTTACGGTGTACATATCTATTTTATAAAAGAGGAGTAATATTTATATCTCAACCAATAACTACTAAATTTATCATTTTGAAAGAATCTGAAGGAATTTTTCTTTTTTTCAATTTTCCTTTTTGGTTGGGAAAGACCCAAACATTTCTTCCAAGGAAATCAGACTGTCTTAAAAATTTTACGTGTTCAGGGAATTGCGTATCTCAGCTGATGCCTAACTCAACTCTGTTTAGAGCTACAGAGCATTTTAATGAGGTTAAGACCTTTTCATTCACAATATCAGACCAGCTCATTATTAGGAATGAAATGTATTTGCTTCCACTAGATGTAGTCAGAGCTCTCCAGAATTCCATTTCTTCTATAATGTCTTGAAGTATCTGAAACATCAGGGACTTTTTTTTTCATTGTAATTTTATCCTTGTAATAGCAAGGTGACAGTGAAAACCATGTTCAGGTAGTATATTAAACATGAACTGAAAGCAGATCCTTTCAAACTTGCAGACAGATTCAGGGGATGCAAAATTATTCTGCTCATAAAATATTAGATAAAAGTTAACAGAGAGTTTTATCATACGATTTGTACCTCAGTTGTATTTTTACATGGTTTTAATTATGAAAGAGCTGCAATGTAGGGTGAACTAGGAGAACAAGCAGACCTTCTCTGTCGTTATGTTTCTTTTGAGGTGTATGAAAACACAAGTCTGGTTCTAGAAGGGTAACAATGGTAACAGCTTGTTGTATCATTTCCATCTTTTTGATTTTTTCTTTGGGTCAAATTTTATTTGGAAGGGAAGTAAAACCTTGCATGACTTGGTACTTTGCTCTTGGCTCTGAAATTTGGTGCTTGATGTCAGCTTGTTAGTTTGGCAAGCTAATAGGCAGCTTAGATGGACAAATTTCTCCAAAGAGCACTTCAGGGCAGGTGCTGGGATCTCTGAAATTAACTTGGTGAAAGCACCTCTCTCCAGCGACTGCATAGAAAGTCAGAAAGATTAGCATTCCAATTTGGGCACTAAGGGAAAGTGACCAAAAGTTAGGTGGTATGCCTGCCTTCTTCAGAGCAGCCTCATCTCTTTTTTGTACTTTAGTAATATCTGGAAACCTGAAGCTGTCACTGACCCTCTAGTACTGTTTATGATACACAACATGAGGCAATGCCTCAGTGTTAAAATTTACACAAATAGGACTTCAGTACCTGTTGTTTATGTTTCCAGGCACTTGAGGCCAATAGAACTAAAAAATAAAAAGAAAACAAAGCTTGTGAAAGATCCGAAAGCAAACAAAACAAAACAAAACAAAACAAAACAAAACAAAACAAAACAAAACAAAAGCCACAGACATGTTCAAATAGTGGTGGAGACAAGAGAAGAATTCAAATCTTAGGAGTGAAAACCAGAGGCTCTCCCTGGGCCATGCTCCAGATACTGTTTATTGTATTCCTTTGGTAGCTTTTCTGGCCCATTGTGCATAGCAGGATGATAATGAACACTACTCTTACACCTTCAAAACTGTGAATTAATTTTGAACAATAAGCTTGGTCCAGATCATTGCATACTTTTAACTTTTATATACCCTGATGAACAGTCCATCAGGGTATATAGCAGTGACTCAGACCACACCAGAAGCGTGTTCCCACAACTGTGTCTTCAGGATGCCACTTCCATTAATCAGCTTTAAAGATAATAAGATTCACATTTTGTGTATACAAATATAAATGTGAAAGTCCAGTTTCTGATCTGTATTGCAGGTGCAAACCCCATAGAGACTTCACAGTAATTGAGAGCAAACTGATCCATGTTATTGACTAAATAGATGTGAATGGTGGTTTTTAGAAATACTGTACTTTACTTTGTTGCTCGGCATTTAGCATCCTTTTAAAACACATCATATGTCAAATAGGTGCCAATGATTTACCATATAAATAGGTATGTAGACATGTCATAAAAATCCTAACTAGATTCCATTAAAAAAATACTGATTACATAGAATGGCCTATTTTAAAATCTTCTTAGCATAATAGCTTTATTTTTTTTCTCAAGTAACAAAAGCAATTAGATTCTGTAATGGATTAATCACTTGCCAATTACCACACGTTTCAGAACAAAACCCATTCTAACAAATGAAACCTAAAAAACTCTTATGCTGGTAGCCTGGCACTATGTATATTAATTTAGAATTCTTTTAATGCATACATCGGTGTATATTTGAAAGCAGATAAAGCTATTGTATAAAAATTAAATCAAATACAATCGTGGTCTGAAACAATATGCACAAAATTTTGGTGAAGTAGAACTGTTAAGGCCAAATGATAAACCCTTCAGATTTAAAATGGAAAGGCTGGTAGAGCTTTCACTGTATCATGAATTTCAATTTGGTTGCTGAAAATAAGAATTCAGATTAACTAAACCAACTTAAACATTTTGTTGACCTTTTCATTTTCATGCCTTTTCCTCAGTTCATATTTTACTTGTAAGGGCTTTATTTTAATTAGTCACTGATACAAAGTCTTGCAAAAAAAGGTGAATCTCAAAAATGAAGATGGATCATAAAATGATGTGTTTATCTGTAATGTATGAGTTGTCCCTTACTTTGTAAAATACACTGCATTTTAATTTTCCACCAAATTTCTTAATATCACCACTTCTTTGTTGCTTTACCTGGCAGTCTCTGATTTATTGCATTGAATGGATAGAATTGTTATGATCAACTTTTTATCTTTAAGCATGAGATTCCTCACTTCATACACTAATTTGAATTTGTAAATACCTTAGAGTTTAGCATTGCTGTTTTGATTAGAGAAGGCCTCACATACCGTTGTATTGCCATTATATACTGTAGTTTAGTCTGTATTTTCTAACAGAGCAAGCAAAATAATTCAGGCTCCCAAACTTCAAAATTAAAAGACTCAAATGTCTCTCTGTTATTAGAAAATTATTGAATTTCTGTGGCTTGTTGTGCCATATTTCTTATTCAAATTTTTTCATTTCATATACCTTTTCACCCACCAGTTTGA